CTTGGCAATGATTAATTATGGTGCAGTGAACATGAAAATGCAGATACCTCTTTGAGATAATGATTTTAATTTCTATAAATACATATCCAGTAGTAGTATTGCTGTACCATATGATAGTTCTATTTTTAATATTTTGTGAACCCCCAATACTGTTTTCCATAGTGGCTATACCAATTTATATTCCCACCAACTGTGTATAAGTATTCTCTTTTCTCTGCTTCTTCACTAACACTTGTTATCTTTTTTATTCTTTCTTTTGTTTCTTTGTTTTTTTAGACTTTTGATATAGGATGCATGAGTTCACCAGAGAGAGACATTAAGAGAGTAAAAGTGAGTAAAGATACTCCAGTGGGAGGACCACACTGAAATCTTCCATTCTTCTCTCAAGATTTTGGGCATGTATACACACATGCTCAGTGTGCTTTCAAGCCACCAGGTCCACGTCTCAAACCACAGGTTTGGCCATGTGGGATCCAATACCTCAATCACCATGCCACCTGCTGGTCTGCCTTTTTTATTTTAGCCTTTCTAGCATGTGTGAGGTGATATCTCTTTGGGGTTTTGGTTTGCATTTCCCTAATAATTAATATTATTGAGAACTTTTTTTATAAACCTGCTGGTCATCTATAAATCTTCTTTAGAAAAATGTCTGTTGACTATTTTTTAAACTGAACCATTTATTTCATTGAATTGAGTTGTAGAAATTCCTGAGATGTTTTGAGTTTTGACCCCTTTTCAATTTGAACTGAATTTACTACAGGATTTCTTATTAGTACACTTACATGGCTTATTTTACATATATATGTTTTGACCAGTGGCCTCTCAAAAGCACACTTTAGGTACAGAAAATGGAAAGAAAATGCATCTTCAAACATATTTTATGGAATCTCTCACCACATATACTTGTTAGATTTGTGTATCGTAGGGCTTTTGTTTTGTATTTTTCTCTTGTATATGAATTTTCTTTTTAATGTGACAGTTATATGCATCTCTAAAAGCATGGTCGCAGACTAAAACACACAGTGTGTAATGATTTCCCTGAAAACTCCTGCAATGTTAAATTTGGAGGCAGCTTCAGACTATTACATTGGTGGTAACTACTCACTGAGCTTTTTAAATGGGTAATAAATCCAGAGAAGCAGCCTGTGTATATTCCTAACACTTCGTTCACTTGCATTTAAGTTTAGAATAAGCCCCAAGTAAAACAATGGAAATGTATATAGAACTATTAGTTCTTTCATGATTTAATTATATCAAGATACATGAATTTAACTTTAACTTTTCTGTAGGCAAACTGTCCATTTTATTGTGTGTTAAAAATAACATCCCTCTCCTACATTCTTTTCTTGACTCAAATGAAATATTAACCTAAGGTCAAGGTGGGAGAGAAAACGACTGAGATGAATGTCTTCACTAAAATACCAATAAATTTGTCAAACTCAAAAGAAAAAAAAAAAAGTCACCCCTCAGGGAACGACCACCCTCCAATTCTTTCTCTAGTCTCTTCCCAGGATCTTGGGCATACACTCAAGCCGGGACTTGAATCATGGTCAGCCATGTGGAAGTCTGAAGACTTAACCACTACACTATCTGCTGGCCCCCATGCATGACATTTTCAGTTTTTGTGATTACAAAGAATTCTGCAGGACATGTTGAAAATCCAGTCATAGATGAGATTGTGAAGACAGAGGCATACACATGTGTACTTTCATTTTAATACGTATTACAAGATGAATTCATGCATTTCTCTACCAGTAAAGGGAGTGCCCATTCATTTTCTTCATTGCTTGAAAAATCATAAACTTTAAACCCTTTTAAAGCGGTGATGTTGACTAGTTGTGTGGTTTGGCATCTTTTCAAATGTTCATAACCATTTAGATTTCCTCCACTGTTCAACAGCTGTTCAAAAGTTAGCTACCTTTGTCTTTTGTCAGTTGTTTGCTCTTCTTATTGGAAATGATTAATTCTTGTCTGGCTTACAATTATTTTCAGATTTATCACTTGACTTTATAGGCAGCATTTTTTTTTTTTTGAGAGGTTTTTGCTATAGGGTACATGTGCTCGCCAGACAGAGACATAGAGACAGAAAGCGAGAAATCACCCCCCCCCGGGGGGATGGTCATGCCGCAACCCCTTCTCCTCCATTCTCCTCTCGGGATCTTTGGTATGCATGCGCATGGCGTGAGATCTAAGTCACCGGGTCCAGGACGCGAACCACGGTAGACTATGTGGGAATCCAGCGACATAGCCATTATGCTAACTGCTGGTTCCCAATAAGCAACATTTTTTTAAAAGTTAAAAAATACAAGCATGGGGCCAGCAGGTGGCATGGTTTTTAGGGGCACTGGACACCCACATGGTCAATTGTAGTTCAAGGCCCAGACCTGGCGGCTTGCCTTCTCACTTTCCCTCTCTCTCATTCTTGTGTCGCTCTCTTGCTGTCCCTCTCTTGGCAAATTACCAAAAAAAAAAAAAGTAAATAAATAAAGTTAAGTAAAATAATTCTCTAAAAAAATACAGGCATCAAGGTTTGTATTTTAAGTAATATATATGTATATGTGTATATATATATATATATACACACACACATATATATAAACAAAAAGGTTTGTATTTTAAGAAACCTGTTTCCTTTTTTTCTTTTTATTTTACTTATTGTTTTTTAAGTTTGTTATAGGATACATGTGATAACTAGAGAGAGACAGAGAGAGACAGAAAGTGAGAAAAGAAGCCACCAGGTCCAGACCAAACTGTGGTCAGATACGTGGGAGTTCAGCACCCCAACCACTATGCTGCCTGCTGGCCTGAAACCTGTTTCTTATTTTGCTTCACCGTTGATGTTTTTTCAGTGTTCTTTTACTGTTTATTAAATTCTATGCAGAGTAATGACAGGGGTAGTTTTTTCCTCAAAGAACAAAATTTGTTATCCTCATCTCTTTCACATTAAGTTGAAATGCTACCCTTTCATATAGATCCCCATATATTCAGGTAAATTCTGCATGTACTACGCATTCTGTTTCACTGTTCTGTTTGCTTACTCATGTTTAAAAGCATAATGCTCTAATAAGAGGAGGTTAAGTAAATTCTTTTTTTTTTCTTTTTTTGGAGAGAATTTTGCTATAGGACGTATATGAGCTCACCAGAAAGAGGGAAATCACCTGGGGGGGGGATGGCCACACCCCAATCCCTTCTTCTCCATTCTCCTCTTGGGATCTTGGGCATGCAGGTGTGAATTTAACCTGCAGGTCCGGGAGTCCAGCAACATAGCCATTACACTAACTGCTGGTCCCAGTAAATTCTGATTCAGAAAAGTAGGTATTCCTATTTCTCCAAAAGTTTTGGTACCACACAGTCTTCATAGTTGGTTCTTTCTAACATTATTTTAAACCATGGTTAAGTAAATTAGCTGTAACTAGCATTTTAAAAGTACATTTAGGGACCAGCAAGTGGCCTGGTGGTTAAGGTGCTGGACACTCCCACATGGCCGACCTCGGTTTGAGTCCTGGACCTGGTGGCTTGCTTTCTCACTTTCCCTCTCTCTCTCTTTCTCTGTGTCTCTGTATCTCTCTGATCAAATTAAAATAAATGTGAAGAAATAAAATTAATTCTAAAAAAAAAAAAGTTAGTAAAAAAAAAAATTCATTCAGTATTTTTACTTTAGTCATCCTGCTGGAAGCTGGTGTTACCTACAGAGAAACAGGCAATCCTTGTCAATAGGTTCCAGCACTATTCTTTGCCTCGCTGGGGAATGAAACAAGTATGGAAACAAACGGAGAGAAAAGTCGTCGCTCGGCCTCCGTGGGCAGCTGAAATTGGAAACGGCTCCAGATTATTTTTATTTTTTATAAATTATTTAATTTTATTCATTTGTTATTATTGTTACTTTTTTTCTTTGTAAATTTTACCAGAGAGACAGCAATTAAAGTAAGGAGGATGCCAAGTCGGGTACTCGAACCACAGTCTACCACGTGAGAATTCAGCACCTCAACCACCATGCCACCTGCTGGCCCATATTATAATTTTTTTAGAGAGATTTTTACTATAGGGCGCGTGTGCTCGCCGAAGACAGAGACAAAGAAAGCAAGAAATCACCCCGCAGGGGAAATGGCCACGCCGCAACCCCGAGCAGCTGTTCCTTCTTAGTAAGATGGGCGATCCAGACAGCAGGGAAGCTGGCAAGCAGTATCTGAGAAGGGGCCACCAGGCACCTGGGGACCGCTAGGAGCACCCCTACCGTGGCCCGGCCTACGGCGGCCACACCCTCATCGCTTCCGCAGTCCTTCCACCCCACAGGATGCAGCGGCGAAGCCGCGGGTGCCTCGTGCCGACCC